CAGGGGTGGATAAATCAATATGGAATTCGGGATCCAGCTCCATTGACAGCAGCTAGAAAAAACCTCAAAAGTTAGGCATCAGCTGTAACTTTTAGAAAGCATTGGCTACTTGGCTCTTGGGATTTGTCCAACCCTGGTATAGTATACAGTGGCATTGATTGGAGTAAAATTGCTAGGCTGTTTATTACATAATCCCAATGGTGTTGCCAAGCTTGCATGCTGTCAGGATGTATGTGCTGTATGTGGTTATGTAATATTATAACATGACAGTTCTACTAGCACAGAATTGACTAGGCATTTACTGTATATCATTAAGTGTAGCATTTTGCAGAAAACTGTTTGCTACTTTGCAGATAAAGTACTCCCCCCCCCCCAGGACAAAATAAAAACACAAAATATATGTAGAGTAGTTCTCAACCTTTCTAGGGCCGGGACCCCTTGGTAACATTTGCCAAGTTGTGGTGACCCCCAATGGTAAAATTTAGGGATGACGCGGCTGCTGCTGACACTGGGAGAACTGACACTGCTGAACTAGGAGAGGGCTGAGGAGGACTCTCACCTAGCGCAGCAGAAATCACACAGCGATCCACAGGTTGAGAACCACTTGCGTACGCCGTCAGAATAAAAAAAAAAAAAAACACCATAGGCATGCATACCTAGATTCCTATTGGCTATTTCACTTTGCAATAGAAACCTAGCTATTGTACCCGCCCTCTGCTGCTGTCAATCACTAGACGAGGACCTGATGGAGAACTTCAGGTCCCCCTCTGCTGATTGGCAGCAGCAGAGGGCGGGTGCAATAGCTAGTTTGCTAATGGCTATTGCAAAGTGAAATAGCCAATAGGAATCTAGCTATGCATTCCTATTGTGTTTTTTTTTTCTCTGACTTACGGCGGCCCCCGAAAAAAAATGATCGCAGGGAAAGGTTCACTCTGCTCGGTCGCGCAGAGTAAACCTTTCCGGTAGAAAGTGTTTCTCTCCCGGGCGGCCTGGAGCCGCTATCTAATAGCGGGAGACTCCCGGGCGACCCCTGGCACATCGTCATTCGACCCCCGACGGGGTCGCGACCCACAGGTTGAGAACCGCTGATGTAGAGGGATATACTGTCAATGCACAACGTATTGCCTCCCCAAAAATATCAGATTTATATTACACATCTACGGAAAATCATTAGTAGCACATCTTGTTTTGATGCTTTGTTCTCTCAGGTAAACCCCTCTTCTCATCACTAGAGTCTGGCAATCAAACTTTATAATAGCGCAAAGAAGATCCCTACCAGGAACATGTCTGTAATAATATATTTGTGTATGCATTATAACAAAATGTAGCCTCTATAAATGCACCAACTAATAGCTATGTTTAGAATTACACAATGTATACTATGGTGAGAATCTCTTTACACAGCCCTTCCTCTGGTGCCTCCAGAGTAAAGAGGGGCATGAAACATGACACATGAAGAGAGAGGTAAAGATATGGCAAATACCTTTATCCCGTCCACCAGGTTATGAATTACTGTGGTTTGAGGCTCCTACAGAGGAAGAAAGAATGAGAAATGGGAAGGAGGAGAGAACAAGAATAGGTAGGGGATAAGAAGAGGAGTAAGAAGGAATTGGGGTGTCAGGGATGTGGAGAGGTAAAGGAGGGGATGGGAGGAGAGATGACAGGGTAGCAGGGCTGAGTAGATGGTAAAGCGGCATGGCAGGTAAAGACTACTTCACAAATTACAAACCTGGAACTATCCCACAAAAAGATTACAGACTAATCTAAGCCACAGACAGATAACAGACTTCCCGCTCCAGAGACAGACCACAAACTTATCTGAACCACAAACAAATGAAAACACGTATCTCTAAACCCACAGATAGGCCTTCCTGAGACAAACCACAAACGTCTGTACTCCAAAGAACACAAGACAAACTTTCCAAGAAATAGACAGGAAGAAGGCAGCACTCCATTCACAGACAGGGCAGTAGACGCCCTTATACCCGCCTTCCCCCCAGAAGCTTTGCACCCCACAAAATATCACGGATGAACAAAAAGTGTGGTTTTGCTCAACCCACTTCTCATACCAAGGCAGCTGGTGGAATAGGCCCCTTCGGACTAGTCACTCCAGCGCTGTTCTTAGTGCTGTTCGTCTGAGGCTTGGGAGAGAGACAAAGACCTTATATGAGACTAGTTGTCAACAAGGAAGCAGAGCTGTGTGGACTGATGGAAGTAATACCATATGAAATGTAAAAGTCAAAAAAACTATTCTGAAGCAGTACTGCAGAGACCTAAGTTAAAGAGCTTCTCAGGGTAATAAAGCAAGACCAAATTGTGATTTGCTAATTATTTCTGTGCTACTTTTCTAAAGTCTGTCCACTTAAAGTAATACTAAACTCTAGTTAAATCTTAAAAATGCATCAAGTACCCTAATTATTAACATAAATGTAGCTCTTTTGTATATCACTCAGCCGCAGATCCTCAAATCATCTTTGAATTTCACGTATACTGGTCTTGTCCGAGGTTACAAGCCTTCTGGAAGATGGTACAAACCACACTGGAACGCCTGTTACAGTCGAAACTCCCGTTGAAACCCATTCATTATCTCCTGGGCCTTCTGTTCCCTCACCTCCGTAAGCATGACCGTAAACTAGCCTCCCATATACTGACAGCGGCAAGATGCCTCATAGCCCTCCAGTGGAAGCGCCGGACTCCGCCGACTGAGGAGGAGCTATATCAGCGTGTTAAGGAGGTGCAGGAGATGGAACACCTGACTGCAAGGTTGAATAACAACCTTCATAACTATGAGAAGGTTTGGTCAGCATGGACTTCTCAGGAGGACCAAATCCTGGTGCCAAGATGTGCATCAAGCACGGCTAATGTGTCCTAGACATAGAGGGTAGCCAGTAAACTGACAGAATCAGGGTAAACCGGGAGTGGATTGAGACCTGGAGGGGCGGATCCAAGGAAGAGTGGGTCATGATCAAACAGGAGCAAGGTTAAACTAGAATGTTACACACCCTGGAAGTGGAGTGAGGTACTTGTTTACTTGTTTAATTGTTTAATTGTTTACTTGTTACTTCTTAAATTGTTTAAGTCTTAAAATAATGGTTTAGACATGCGTATGTATACGTTTCACCCTAGGGATACATATGCCCATGACTAAACCCCGTGTGAGCTTTCTATCGCTACATACAGTTTAGTCACTAAAATATGTGTGCAGAAAACGGGGTGAAAAATTAGATGGACAGGCAATTCTCTTTACTGAAGGTTTGTGTACTGCCCACCTTGAGGAATCTACCAGTAGTAAAATGGAGTCCTGGAGGGACTGCGAATGCTCTTAACAAACCTTTGTCCTGATGATCCGAGGTTGTGGTACTTTAACCCCCTAACAATAGAAGCTAACATGGGAAAATGTTTTGATTATTGACCTGTTTCCTTCTCTGTATATTTCACTCTTGATGTCCATTTGATATATATGATTCAATATGTTGTAAATCCTATACTACTTGTATGAAAAATAAAAAAGTTTACTCATAAAAAAAAAAAAATCATCTTTGAATTGGTGCTGACACTGTCCTTCCTTCTGGAAGGGGGCTACTTTTGTTCCCCATGGTCCCTGTGTGTGTTGTAAAGTAGTCACCACTCCAAGCTCACTCCTGTGATGGACTGTACAGTGGTACCTCGGTTCATGAACGCTTCTGTTCGCGAACAATTCGGTTTGCAAGTTTGGCAAAATTTTGCTTCCGTTCGCGAATTCCGCATCGGGTGCCGAACACAACCGCAGACATCTTCCCCGCTCTGACACATGGTCGTGGCTTCCTCTAGTCGAGATTGCGGTCTGGTCACAGTTTGATTTGGTTCGCGACCAATTCGGTTCACGACTAGAATCGTGGAATGAATTAAGTTTGTGAACCGAGGTACCACTGTACAACACACACAAGGACCATGGGCAACAAACGTAGCCACCTTCCAGAAGGGAAGACAGTGTCAGCACCAATTCAGAGATGATTTGAGGATCTACAGCCGAGTGATACACAAATAAGATACATTTTTGGTAATGGTTAAGGTACTTAAATGTATTTTCAAGGTTTAACTCCTGAGTTTAGTGTCACTTTAATTTACTTTAATCTAAATGTATAACCATTCCTGCCAGATCAAGCAGGCATCTCACATAGCTTCTTGATGGTGCTGTAACCTTCTTGTCACATGATGTTGAGCAACAACCCTTTAAGTGAACTACAGAATATCGTTCTAAGAACCCTCAAATACATGACCTGGATGTTTGCAGGCTTGAATTCAGGAAACAAAAATAGCCAAAATGATAGGGCAGACAGTGGCACAAGATGAATGTTTAGCAGGTAGGCTGTTTCCCAGAATTGTGCTTGGATGCTAAATGTTCAGGTTCAGCTAAAGTATAGTATAAGATCCTGGACAAAAGTGCTTAGAATCTAATGAGCGTAATACAATAACCAGAGAATTCTTCTGTTGTGTAAGTTTGGTATAGTCTATAGAAGACATACTGTAAATTATTGCTGTAAGTATACAAATATTACCTTTCCAACATCCGTCTTCTTGTTCAGCAAACTTTTTGCTGCTGCAGGGGGACCAAGAGATACAAAATATGGTTAGCATGCATGAAACCATCAACGTGGATATATTTATAATTTTTTTTGTCAGCATGGAATTATTTCTAGGAATAGGAATGATCTATTTCACCTCTAGGAATCATGACCTTGATGATTATTTCTAGGAATAGCCATGATCTATTTCACCTATAGGAACCATGACCTTGATGATTATTTCTAGGAATAGCCATGATCTATTTCACCTATAGGAACCATGACCTTGATGATTATTTCTAGGAATAGCCATGATCTATTTCACCTATAGGAACCATGACCTTGATGATTATTTCTAGGAATAGCCATGATCTATTTCACCTCTAGGAACCATGACCTGGATGATTATTTCTAGGAATAGCCATGATCTATTGCACCTCTAGGAACCATGACCTTGATGATTATTTCTATGAATAACCATCATCTATTTTACCTCTATGAACCATGACTTTGATGAGTCTCATAATGTGAATGCAATATATCAGGGAGAATAGTCAACGATTACAGAATTCAAGTTATTAATAGAAGTGGCGCTGCAGAAATATGTGTCCATGAAGACCAAAATATTATATGGATTCAACAGTATACTCTTTTCCCAGGTCGGAAAATAAAAGTGAAATAAAAATAATCCCTGATATATAGCGTGCTATCAAGTGTTCCTATTCTAAATTATACTTGAATTCAATATTTGGGCTACAATGGTTAACAGTTTAGAAGTCAGGTTTCTGATACTTTTTGTTGTTGTTGGTAAATTGCTAATTGTAGCTAAATTGTCATAGTTGTTCCATTTTACTGTGCAATTTGTGTATAGAGAATCCCTTGTAATTCCTTTTCTTTACAGAAATGTTGGTTTGGAAGCTGACAGGGCTTCCAACACCTCTTCAGCATGTTTAGCCCCTGGCTGTTTAAAGCGTTCCCTTGTCTTCTTTAAGATGCAGAGGTTGCAGGTTTAATCCCCAGTTGTCAGACAAAGACAATTTTTTAAGGTGAGCCAAAACATGTGTTATAGTTTTAGCTAAAGTAAAGCTGGCCATACACAGATTGAATTTCAGCCATTTCCTGGTGAATCGGACACAATTTTATCCCCGGGTGACCCTACTTGACAAAAGACGATATATCAACCAACCTTTGTCAAAGGAGTGGGGTGGAAAATTGTTGGCCGAACATTGACTGCAAACAGTCAGTCTGACTCTCTGGGTATTCTGACTCTCTGGCTGGCTCTCAGCATAGAATAACTAGCAGAGAATATACCTCAATCGGTGCTATTTAACATAGATAGGGAATCTAGTGATTTCTCTCGCTCTGCCCCGAGGGTGGAACAATAAAAACCTTGTGTGCTTGGCCAGCTTAAAAGAGAACTATGAGGTGAGTGAAAATTACTTATCCTCATAGTTCGAGCCGACGTGTGACAAAAAACTGTCACACGTCGGCTCAATAGATTGAAAAGTGAGCGAACGCATACCGTCGCTCGCTCACTTCTTGATCATCTCCCTGCAGAGATCCGTGACTGTCAGTCACCGCTCCCCACAGGGATTCCTTACTTCCCCTCTATGATCCCTCCAGCGCTGACTGGAGGAACGGACAGGGGAGGGGGCGGGTACAGCTGGCTCTGCCTCTAGATAGGCAGAGCCAGCTGTCACTCATGCAGCTGGGTGGATCTCAACAGTAATGTAATTGAGTAATGTAATTGAGCTGTAGCTCGCGATATACTAAACTTTGGGTCACGGGAGGATGCTAGTATATGTCCTCCCATGACCCTTAAGAGAACTATGGGGAAAAACACTTACCCCATAGTTCTCTTTTAATAAAGTTTAAAAAAACCTTGATTCCCCCATCCACACTAACAGCATGGATGGGGAAATCCCCCCACCCCTGTCTCTCTACTGTATTCTGACAACAGCAGGTGTGCTGCTGTCAGAATACTCTTAACAGAGACTGAAGCTAATTGGCTCCAGTTATTGTTTGGCCGAGATTTTTCAGACAGGCTCCTTCCACAGAAGTTGATTGAAAAATCGACTTTTGTCGAACAAGGGGGTCCCGCTAGGTTAAGACCTCTGTCACTTTTTTGTTTTCGCATTGGGGAAATTCTGTCTTATTTTCACAATTGCTACTAGGACAGAGACTCTAGTTCTAACTCGAGGTTCTATCCCTTCCACCATTCCAGAACTTAAAAGAAGTTTTGTCTGGAGTTACAAAATTTGCTAACTGAAGGAATATAGTTTGCATATGGCCACAACAGAGATTGAAAAGGCTTCATTGCCAGTGAGCTGAACTGGTGTGCAAAATGAGAGTAGAGCTGTGATAGCAAACAACAGAGACAGTGAAGGTGAGCAGAGACACAAGAGCTGAGTGGGTCTGGAGTAGTGCAGGAACACAGAAGCTGAGTTTGACAATAGGTAGGCTGCTCGGCTTTCACTTCGCCCTACATATTCCTAACCTTGTACACTCCATTTTGGTACTGTATACATCAGATTTATATAATAAAACATAAGATAAGTTTGAGCTCTGGGTTCCAGTTGATGTAGCTAGGATGGAAAGGTGCAGGCAGTGGGACAGTATTTCAGCTATTGAAGAATGAGGAGAACAAGGGATAAGGAAAAGGAGGAGAGCCAAGGGGAATGGGCAAACTATGTGAGTCAAGGAGGAGGGTGCATGGGTGTTCCCCAGTGAAAAGGAACAAGGAGACAGCCAGCTTGAAATATTATTTCGAGGCCAGAATTTAGTATCTTTTAAACTTAATGCATTTAGCACTGAATATATTGAGTACAACATAAGCCATCCAACTGCAAAAGGAGATCTATCTTGAACCCACCAATAGGGAATCATTAACCCACAGCAAAGTGCATATAACGCTAAGATATATATATTTTTTTAAAGAAAAGCCTAACCTTTCTAGTTAATTGCTAAACTGTCTCAGTTATTAAATAAGTATAAAATAAATCATTCTAACATTTATATTGGTTTTTTTTTTTTTAGAGTTTCAACATTTTATATTTAAAGTTTCTCCAAATAAAATAAAATTTCATATGAAGGCCCAAACATGAGATCTTTGGCATATAGCTTTCAGACAAGCTTTCTGAGATCTCGTCAGATCATGGACATGCCAATACAGTATAAAACTGGCAAGGGGGCTGGGGGTTAACAAAATGTGTGAAATTTAGCTGAAATTGCAGTTGCACTTGAAAAACTCGGCTCCCACAGACTGGCATCATATCTCTCATAATAACTCTATCAATCTACTTCATAATATGGCTCATTTTAAACTGTTAGTATGCTATCAGTGGATAGCACAATGGGCATATAGGTTTCCTTATTATCCTTTGTATTATTATCCCTATATCCGTTCCCTATAGCATATTTGACGGACTTGTGGGAAAATCCAGGCATATTGGAACACAATTTCTTAATTACGTGAGAAAGCCTTTAAACCTTCCATGACCCCTATACACCCCTGTATGCTTGTTTGGTTAAAAGAATGGTACTCACTCTGGAACAGATAAAAATATTGGGGGGGAATTTATCAAAGCAATTGCGACCATTTTAGCCTCTTAGATAATTTTTTTTAGTGCAAATCTGTCTTTTAACACGTGCGCCTGTTTTGACCAGAGCTTGCACTACTTTTCCAACTGCACGTGTTTTGCGCCTGTTTTTATCTGCACTTGTTCTGCGGCGGTCTGAAACTGGAGAATCACCTAACAAAACAATTGCAACTTAAGAAGTCCCCATGACCACTTCTTAACCAGTTGACATCCGCGGTGTTAAACCCCCTTCCCATCCAGGCCATTTTTCAGTATTTCACGCTGCGGTACTTTGACTGACATTTATTCCGTCATACAGAGCTGTACTGAAATGAATTTTATACCCTTTTTTGGGGACACATAGAGCTTTCTTTTGGTGGTATTTATTCACCACTGGGGGTTTTATTTTTTTATATATTAAGGAAAAATTACAGATTTTTTTTAAAAAAAACAGTTTCCCCTATCTTAAATTCTAAAACATTTATAATTTCCCAATTTTTTGGTAAAATATAAAAGACGGGGTCTAGTCGGGTAAAGAGACACCAAACATGTCAAGACTTAAAATTGCGCACGCGCGCGAAACCTCAAAAAAACTAAATTACCCAAAATTGGCCATAGGCGACGCATTAAAAGCTTTTACCGCTCATCAGTTTAGTGTTATCAGTGATTGATGGCCCTAAAATGATTGCTTTCACTGCGACGTTCGCGGCGATATGTAACATGTGTAGCGCAATTGTCATTTTCGCGTGCTGGCGCATGCGACGCATATTTACGTTTAAATGTGCGTAAACGAAGGTGGGGGGACTTAAACATTTGGGGGGGGGGTTTACTTTTTTTTATTTGTGACCTGTTATTTTTTTAAACTTTTTTTGTTTGTGACTTTTATTTTTTTTAACTTTTTTTATTTATATAGATTTTTTTTTACACTTATTGTTATTGCTATTATATAGGGGGATACCATCCCCCTATATAATAGCACAGGTACACTGACAGGTCCTCTTTATGGAGACATTAGGGGTCTCTAGACCCCTAATGTCACCTGGAGACCCCAAAAGAAGCTGATGAAGCACAGATTTGCTTCATCAGCTTCTTCTATCTGGCATAGGAGCCAGATGACTGACAGGTGAATGCGGAAGTGATGTAATACACATCACTTCTGCATTCACACTACGGAGGGAGAACAGCAAGGAGCTGATCTCCCTCCCTCCTCCTCCTGACGCCCTCCCGAGCCGGTCCCGGGATTAAATGGGGCAGCGGATCCCGGGATTAAAGGTGAGGGGTCAGGAGGGGGGAGATGGCGGCACCCGCGATCGCGCGGGGGGGGGCCCTCCGAAATTCACGCCATACAACCGATCGGCGGCTATAGAGCCGCTGATCGGTTGTATGTGAAACAGCCGTTAACTGCTGTAGTAACAAGCGGGTCTTTCCTGCCCGTGCGCGCGCGCTAGGGGGCGCGCGCGAGCAGGAAAAAAATGCCGTCTGGCGACGGCAACCCGCAGATAGGAGTCAGCCGTCCGTCCGTTTTTTCTTAACGGGCGGACGGCAAGAGGTTAAAGAAGCGACCGTTTTTTGCCTGGACTCACGAGTCTTCTTTCCTGGAGTCTATTTAACCTAATCTATCAACAACATTACACTAGCAACATAATTCTGGCGCAAAGTGCGTCAAATATATTTTCCGTTCAAGTGCAAACACTCGCAATTGCTATGATAAATTACCCCCATTGCTTCTAAATTTGTTTTTGTCAGATGCCTTATACCAAAGTTTTGGGAAGTAACTAAAGCTGGCCATACACCAGTAGAATTTGATTCCAAAAAAATAATTTTCGGAATGCTTATTAACTTTTCTAATACTTAATGAGGTCAAATCGATGATCATTTTGACCATAGTATTGAAAAAAAATTCTTGCAGTGAATTTGGTTTTCATTCGGGAAACTCCATGAATTCCACACATGAATGTTAAAATCAAATTACATTTCGAATGACATTTGTCAAGTCTCTGATGGCATTATCAAAATTTCTGACAAGATTTTTCATATGGATATTCGTAGAAAAATCTACCAGTACATGGCCAGCTTAATTCTTGACGTGTGAATGACTGGATCCCCCAAATGTCCTTTTTCATTGAATTAGAGGAATCTTCATGTCTCCATGTCTAGGCAAGTGCTCCATGTACTCAATTGTCTTCTTTTAAAGGCTGTACAGATGTAGTTATTTACTTTCTACTTTAAAGCTTAATCTATATATATATATTTCTTTTTTTTCTACATTAACAGTGTTAAAAGTGAAATGTAAAAAACAACAACAGTGGCTGGGGTCACTTAGTGGAAAGGAAGCAGCTATGTGTTGCAATACAGTGGCATCCATCCAATAATAAACAGTTTTAGGTGGACTTAGTCTTTAAGTGGAAGATGATTTCCAGTACAGACCCACTTTAAAGTAACATAAAGTGAGTTTTCCTCATGCAGCTCCCTTTTTGAGCTCTAATTCCCCAGATGACCGTACAATACAAATATTTCTATGTAAAATATTATATGCATATGTATCGACTTCTGTCAACCAAGGATGATAGACAATAGCTGAACATGGGACCCACTGCTATTCACAAATGAATTGTTTGAAGTTGGGCCACTTTGTGCGGTGGTTCCAGGCAAATTGGGGATTTTCATCTTTATTGATATTTGATTTACAAAGTGTAGTTAATAACTGTACCACAGTGGTGCACATGGTGCTTGAATAGTAAAGCCTGCTTATCTATACGGAAATATCACTTCCACTGACAAAACAGGAGGTAAAAGGATAACCAAAGTGCTAGAACTTACCTTGCAATAAATAGAAAAGGAACGGAAGAATACATAGTAGAAAGAGAAAGGCAAGGGATGAGAGCAGAGATAGAACATACAAGAAAGAAGCCAGAATTAGGAAAGTCAAACAGAAGGAGAGAGAAAAAGAGAAATAGTGAAACAGTGAAAAAAAGACAGGGGAGAGGAAAAGATACACATAGGTAAAATACAAAAGGTGGGCACTGTCAAATGGCATATCTGTGCATATAATGCGGGCATCAGCAGGCGGGCAAGACAGGACATCCAACACATGCCCAGCCACAAAAAAACACTGTCCATCTACAACACTCACAACCCCCACCACACTGCCCCCTGCCTATAATACAGTGCATTTGCTCACAGTGTGGAAGACTTTGCGTCTGTGCCTACTCAACTTACAGTGTGATATAAGACTTACAAATGTAGGCTGCTTAGTCATTTATATCACTTGAAGAAAGAGCTTGTTAAACTGAATCTGACCTGGCCTTCAACGTGTCTAATATTACAACAGTGTTAAAATACAGGCAACCTTTGGTGCCTACAAACACCTGTGTTACCCTTTAGTTTGAAACCTGTGTCCATGTAGAGCCCCTTGGCTCAGGTTGTACACATGGCATAGACTTTTCTCAAAGTTTACGTCTCATTACTTCTCAACCCTAAATGTATATGCTATCATTAAGGTTATAAATACCAGAGCCACAGTGGGCAGTAGAGGTTCTAGCATTTGACAGCTGAATGACAGTAAGCTTAGAGGTAGGAGGGGATGGTGCCTGAATTTTAAGTCTGGTGTCACTTTATTGTGCACTTTTTAGAGCAGATCAGGTTTGCTATAGCACAGCTTTCTCAAGGAGGGAGCTTAACTCCAAAATAAGCCATGACGAGGTCGACAGGCTTTTGACTGAGAGATTCTGTCATAGAAACCTGAACAGGTGTCTATGGCAGCAACTCCTTTATCAACCATTCTGTCTTAGTGCTGTTGATTTCAGAGCTAAGCTCATCTCTGCCTTGCCCATAGACAGACGTTCCCCACTCTTCACCCTGACACTGTGTGACATGATCCAGGGCACCCCAAAGTGCAAAAGGGGGGGGACACCAAAAAACCACAACAGGGGGTTGTGGTGCAGAGGGGGGCGGGAGGCATAGCCGTTGATAATACAGCCGCCTGGATGACTTGTAGTTGTAGTAGCGGGTCCTGTCTGAGGTCATAGGTTGCTAGGAAGCCAGTGGTCCTAGCAGCAAATGACTGAGCGGAGGGGGGCCTGCGCTGAGTTATGACTGGCAATGGAAACACCGGCCTCGGAGACCAGTGTATCCACTATCAGCCAGCTATAACTCATTCAGGTCGGCGGTCGCGGTCTGGACAGAATCGCCACTCGGTCCCTGTCCGGACTGCAGTCCACCATTTAGTGACCCCCTCCTCTATACCTTACAGTGCTCATAGATCTTCTACAAACATGTGTAAAATTCTTGAAACAAAAACCACATGTAACTTATATTCTCAAATACAGTTTCTACATACATATACAAGGTTCTACAAGAAGACTGTATGACTTTGAATGGTGGAAATATATTAGCTAGTTGGGTTCCATATTTAATTGTGCTTATTAGGATTACTCAACCTTTGCTCATTGTGGAACTTTCAAGGTGGAAATGTAAGTTTGCCTGTTTTCTTGGACCTCAAGAAAATGGGCCCTCAGAAGAGACTATCAAGCTCCTGTTTATATCATAATTATCATAACTCCAGTAATCTAAAGTTTAGCAGCTGTGTACACTCTGATGCAAAGCATAATAAAGCAATTTGTGTCACCATTGCACTGAGTTTTGTTTTCCTAGCTACGTTCTGTACCATTCAAACACCAACAGAACACTGGCAAGGGTATAGACTGATTTTCACAATACAACACCTAAATTCTCTATTTGCACAGTGACACTCACATACAACGTGTACACACACATGCACTGTACATGTATACACAGAACTGCTGAGGAGCACAGTGAAGTCATTGTACAATAGATGCCATGTACACTGTCAGATAATTGCTGGGTTGTACCTCAACACATGCCATGCACGTGACATGCCCAAGCATACAGCATGCTCCAAGGTACGCACACTACATGCAGCGTCTCCAAGTGGACACCCAACATGGGCCCCTTATATGCTACCTATATAACCCTACCATGGCAAAGACAGACATTAGCGCATAAACGAAAGGAAGCCAACTCAGTGCCTAGTATATGTGGGAAAATCTGATATTATACAGGCTGGTAGACATTTTACCCTTCCACATTCACCCATTAAGACACAACACTTCAGTGCTTAGGCAATGTTATAGTCCTAGTTATTAATAACAGCAGGCCAGTAATTTCTAGTTCCTGCTACCTCTCCCTAATCGTGGCAGGAACAATCTGCAAGCCAGTCTCCTTTAAATTGTTCACGTAGGCAGGCAGCTAGGAAGAAGCATCTACATGCAGTCACTTCTGAGGGGAGGGAAGGGGCAGGTGTGAAAAGGGATAGGACGTGCCCTGCGGACACTACTACCTTGTTCCACCAACCCCAGGGCTGTACTAGTGGCGGCAGTGGTGATTGTGGCAGGAGCTGTGGTCTGTCTGCCCACTGTGAGAATGACAGAGATCAGAAAAAAGGGGACGGAGGAAGAAAGTAAACAGTGGAGGAAAGTGATGATTAGATAGATCACATTGAACAGTGATGAGACACAGGAGGTTGGTCATATACAAACACATGAATTAAATCAGTAAGAACAGAAGGTAGAACGAGAGAGGAATACAGGTGCAATGTAAACAAAAGAGGACAAATGAACACAAGAGGGTCCAAACAAGACAGAGCAAGAGGAGGAGAAGAAATTAGAAGGTGATGTGTGGGGGGTAACGATTTTTACGAGAGCATAAAGTGGGAAGGAGAAGAGAGATGAAGTAAGTAGAATAAGGCAGACTTAAAATAAAGAAAAGTTAAGAGCAGAGAGAAAAGAACATTATCTCCACCACATGGTTACACAAAGAGACGGATCACTGGTAACTGGTCATATTTATGAGAGTTCTGCAGCACTTTAAAGTGACATTAAACCCTCAGATTTTTTAACATAAACCAATACTGTAATGTGTGCCTTACTGTAATCCATGGTTGTTTTCCTTCTCTTTGCTGCTCTTCCTTTTAAATCTGTATCTGTTCTCATGCTGGGAAGAACTTCTGTTTTGCAGCAGACTGCCTTGTCTCTGGAATGGCTACATGGTGTCTGTGTATAGGTTTGCAACCTGAGCCAGCACTACAGGAAGAGGCACTCAGCTGCAAAGGGAAGTTCTCCCCCAGCATGAGAAGACATGAGGATTTAAAAGGAAGAGCAGCAAAGAGAAGGGAAACAACCATGGATTACAGTAAGGTACACATTACAGTATTGTTTTATGTTAAAACATCTGAGAGTTTAATGTCACTTTAAGCTGATAACATCAGAATGGGTCTCGCTGGGTGAAAAGTGCTGGGTCGGCTGTTCTCTTCATTATTTGCAAAAGATTAGTCTCTGCTGTGCTCTACACTAATTGTAAAAAAAAGTGGACGATGGATTATTTTAAAGTAATTTTGAAGTGTTATATGCTTTTTATAAAGCAATGGTTTCATCTGCATATTGGTATTGTCATTAGGGACTGCATTGCTCAAGACCTCAATTGAATCAAAGCAGATCTGCTGAGCCTTTCATTGGTCATAGCAGAAATGGATCTACAACTCAGTGTTATCTCAGAGATAGACTCTGCAGTCTATTGCACTCTTGGTTTTAGGAAACAGAATTCTTACAGTGGGAGTTCAAGTGTATAAAACTGGCACTCATAGAGCTAATCCTCCAAATGCACAGTATTACGTATAGCACGGAAGTCACGGCAGCATGTTACACTGATCATGAAAGATAGAGATCCAATGTGGAAGGTGGTCCAATCATTATTCTGTACACAGTGATGTCATTCTAGAAAATGTCGTTAATTGTGTTTGGCATCTCTATTCCAGGTGCCACTATTGACACCTGTGATATTGAACACTTATTACTAATCCTGAAAGTACATAGATGAGCTGTCTCTGTGATCCATTATAGACCAGTACAGGTGGTATAGGTGTACAGCATTTGTTATCTTATGAAATCTGGTTTTGGAGTATATAAGATTAGATGTAACAGAGTGGTATCTTCATTGTACAGCAGTACAGAGTAGAGATCAGCAGTGGTCCTGTAGAGCATTATAGTAGTATGTGTTAAGGTTTAGCAGAATGCCTGTAGAAAATTCTCCAGATTAGGTGAGGGACTCACTTACCAGAAAAGTTCCTTGTTGCCAGCATAGTAGTTAGAATGGCTCCCTATAGAAATAATATAATGTGGATTAATATGGCATACCCACGGGAAAAGGACACAGAAATGCATGATGGAGCCACGCTTACTTTCAGCTTTCGACGAGCATTGAATTTCTTCAGGCACTCCACAGTCTCTTGTCTGTGCATCATTGAGGCAACAGTTGAACGTTGCTGTGAGGAGACAGAAAGAAATGTTGCATCATATAAATTCCCAGAAAATTCCGGTACAGCCCAGCCACATTTCAAAGTGACCAAAAAAAAACCCCAAATATATTATTGTAAAAATATGGGTTACTTACGCAGACCCATGGGTGCTTGAGGGCTTCATGAGCAGTAATACGCTTGGCAGGGTTGATGGTCAGCATCTGGTTAATCAGATTCTTCGCTTCTGGTGTCACTGTGTCCCACTCCGGTGATGGGAACTGTAGAGATATTTGTATGTGTCAGTGAAAGGTGCTAAATTGTCACAACAGTACTTTTCTGACCCTTGGATCTGCATCACATTGGGGTTTTAGCCACTAATAACACCTTGGCGTTTCTGCCACTCTACCTAATAGAAGTTGTTCCCTTGCTAGCCAGATTGCTGCATAAACTCAATTGTAAGGAGGGCAACACCTCCCTAGTCTGGCCATTGAGGAAGTGATGCCACGGAAGAAAGTAAATAGACCACCAACAAGAGAATGGCTAAGAGGCCAGGAATTTGACAACTCAATGTCATGGGTCATTAAGACAATTATTATACTGTTCAGAGATATCAGTTTCACGGAACTGGCTACAACATAATGGCTTAAACAGTCCTGCACTCCCTTGTCTATAAAAAAGGGACTTAAAGATGATACATGTACAGGAAAACTAAAGACAATTATCTGCAGAGTATTACAGGCACGTGAATGGCACAGGAAGTGAGGAGTGTTTTAAGAGAAGGGCTCTACCTATTCATCTGTTATGATCTTCTACAAGTAGTAATACATGGGACAAGACTGTCTGTTTTACATAGTTGTCTGACAATCTCCCAATTTGTAGAGCAAGAATAATCACATCAGAGGATGCCTGAGATCAGTGATTGCAAGGCATCCATCGAGTTTAAGAGTTTCTTTCAATTTTCCATTCGTCTCTATTAATAGAGCAAAGATGAATAGTGACAACCCAGTTCTCCCATTTACTACCTCATAGGCAGCAATGGGGAGAAAACCATTCTCTAAATACTGTATGTGTCTCTTAGTTAGATAAAGGAATGTCTAACGACCCTGATCACTGTTCTAAATGGTCAAATTCCTCCACAAATGGACAGATTAAGGTCCTGTGTCAACGGACTTTAGTCTTCTGCTGATGGCATCAGTTGAGACGCTTCTGAGGTCATTCATAATTCACTGATAGGTGCATTTGACATGCAGTTGACCTTTTTCTGATCTACATTTGACAATTTTCAAGTCGGTTTTACCTTTCCAAAGACTTGTATGGAAATGCAAAACCTGTTTGAAGCAAACAAAAGTCCATCGACACAGGCCCTTATTATAAATTTTACAGTTACACAGTGCATCCGATGTGAGAAATGAAAAGAAAAGACCTAAATGTAGGCTTTGAACAGGCATATGTACATACTTTCCAATACCTCTTATTACACTGATACTGTATACCATGTGTTATGGGGAATAAATATGTATTCATCAGGGAAACAACCTTTTGATTTTCAGACTAGGATGCCTGCGTTATAAGAGATATAGTCTGATACTGCAAAATTTTGCTTTAATACAAGAACTTAAGACATGAAGCATGAACTTGTGAATATTTCTTAGGGTTTACACTGTAAAAAATATATCTGATAATCCAGAATGACCATGCTTCATTGATTTATAGGTGCAATGTGTGTGTGTGAGTTCTAACCTTCCCCTGTTTTTTGTGAAAGTCCCCTATGTGAAAACAATTAAGAGGTTTATTTAATAAATCGAGCAGTGCACAGAGTCCAGTAACCAATGCCAACCAATCACAATTTATATATTAGTAATCTAAATAGTTTCTATACTGAGTTATATACCTAACATGTCCATCTATAAATAAGGTAAGCAGGCAAGTAGAACTCACATCATATGCTCCAGCTTTAATCTGCTGGTACAGCTTGTGCTGGTCCTCATCCCAAAATGGCGGGTATCCAACCAGTAGAATATAGAGGATAACACCTAGTAAGACAACACACATGGGAGGCATGCTCATAATTCAAATATAAAACATTAAAGGTACACTTTTATAGGGAGATCTTACTGATCTGCACTTCCGAAAGTATAGGGCCTCCAGCTGGTGATGCTCATGCTCAATCTAGGTTATGTGCAACAGGATGGTATGGACTATGAAATGGAGGCATTGTCTTCTAAAATAAAACACTGGTCTAAACAACTTGTGTATATATGTGTTCTAATGCCAGGGCTGTTTAGATCTATAAATATAAACTATTAAAGGAGAACTATGAGGTGAGTGTTTTTCACTCATCCTCAAAGTTAGAGCCGACCTGTGACAATTAAGCTGTCACAGGTGCAGCCGATCCGCTCACTTCCTGATTGTCTCCCTGCAGTGAGCAGTGACTATAAGTCACCGCTCCTCTCAGGGATTCCCCCCTCCCCTCTCCAATCCTTCAGCGCTGAGTGGAGGAACGGACTCTAGATAGGCAGAGCCAGCTGTCACTCATGCAGCTGGGTGGATCTTGACAGTAATGTCGGGATCCGTCCCGGCTGCGGCGCTCTCGGTATATTGTGGGCAATAGCTCACTACATACTGAGCTTTGGATCAAGGGAGGAGGTTAGTATATGTCCTCCCGTGATTCTAAAGAGAGCTATGGAGGAAAAACACTTACCCCATAGTTCTCTTTTAATGTCTGTGAAGGTCCAGCTGAACTCGTCCAGCTGAATGTGACAAACGTTTACTATCTATAACCTATGAGCCATTTTGTTTCACCTCATAAAGGTAGGCCCCACTCACAGCAGCTTGAATGCGCCTGCTTGTGTGCATTGTGTAGGGCACAATACAATGTGTTGTTATCATATGATCAACCGTGTCTAATGCAGCCCAACGCATATGGCGTGAAGGGAGGGATGCTAACAGACATCCAAAATGAATTGCTGCCTGTGGCTATGAAGCTTTAGGATCACATTTGTGTCTGTGCCTACTCCATCACTGACACCCATAAGAAGCACGCAGCTCCCCCTTTTTTTTTTTAAATTCTCCATGAGCTAAGTGAAAAAAAAAAGAGAAAAGGAAACGTTTCACTGAACATGTGCTGATTCTGTACCATGATTAAGTGTGTCTTGGCAAGTTTAAGGATGGTTGTTATTCTTAGTGAGACATCTGCCTCATTCTGACATTGATTGTGAAGCACAAAAAAAAAATCTGGGTGTCGTTGATGGCTAATCACTTTATTAGTGTTGTATTTATAATGTATATATTTGCTGTGTTCACTGCGTTTACAGCTGTTGTATTTACAAGCCTTTTGCAATCCATAAACTAAGTCTGTACCATGCCGGGTAGATCAGAATGACAGTTAGGAGGCATTTCATCAATTCTGAAAACACACATGTTGAATTCTAAGTGAGAATGGTAGAACCCTCCATATGGCGTTTCATATTATAAAGCCGCAGTCACGGCAACTTGTGTCTGCTTACCACATGCCCAAATATCCACCGGTTTTCCATATGCCTCTTTTCGGAGCACCTCCGGGGACAGGTACCCTGGGGTTCCGGCAAAACCTGGCATAAACAGAACATAATAAGAGTCCTCCCGTATCTCTAGCTGGCAGTAGTTTATACAGAGAGCTATGTGCCAGGGGATTGTTCCATGTACTCGCTTAGGAGAAATGATCCGTGAAAGATATTTTCTATGCTCAGTATTATAGGCACAGCTCTTGTTTTATCCAATGAACTTCGAAGACATTTGGAAGGAGATGAAATCTACCCAGACAACCCCCTGATAAATATCTGACAATTTATTCTTACAGAAACAGTTACATTTTGGGAAACAACGGCTTATTTAAGGCAGTGCAAAGAGCAAAACTAATAGGCTAGGTGCAGTCACCCGGAGCAACCAATCAGATTTCAGCAGTTGCTATGGGTTACTGCACATTGACCTTATTACAAAAGCCCAAAATGCTTTTCAGTTGTATCAGTCCAAAGAAAAGAAGCAGCTACTGTTACATTTAAGGCAGATTTTTTTTTTTTTTTTAACTGAACTGTGTCTAATACGGCACTAAAACAGCATTAAGATATAAAGCTTTTGTGACTCAGCCATTAATAAATTTATGGTATTATGGTAAAACTCCCTGGACAAGAGCTTTCAGTCTAATTTAGGCATGGAGTCACACAGCACTGCTAAAGTCAGTTCATTTTGCAGTGCTATGACGTTATACCTTATTCACAATGGCTAATTGCCATCCATGATTACCAGAGCTTTCATTCAGATACTGCAGATCAGAATAGCAACTACGGAAGAGCCCTTGAGCCATGCTAAAAAAAATATGAAACATGATTCTGTGTTCAAAAGTCAGATTTCTGAGGTTAAAAGTCAGAATTCTGAATTTTTATCTCAGAATTCTATTTTTAAAATTCTGAGTTTGAAACTCAGAATTCTGACTTTTAAATACATAATACTGATTTTCAAACACAGAATTCTGACTCTTAAACACTGAATCCCTTCTTTAAACACAAAATTATGTTTTATATCTTTTTTTTTAGCATGACCCCAGGACTCTTCCATATGCAACAGACATTGTTAGGCAAAAAAACCCCCTTTGTATTACAAAGTTGCAGCATTTCTGTCCTTTCTTTACTTTTCTGTGTATCTATAACCAACAGTTTTTCTAGACTACAAAATAATGTCACTTTTTCTTTCTGTATCCCATTAAACATGACAACTTCAGTCTTTAATACTTACCTTCAGCCCTGCTCCAGAGATCTTCACTGTCCTTGCCTGGTTTTGCACAGCATGTCAAGCTAAAAAGTGTTGGTCAGGCAATGCATGCATACTTGTGTGCCACTTGCCCCATTCATTCCTTTAAAATAGTACTCATGGAGGACACAGCCATTGATGGGAGTATGGCCTTATCTATAGGAATGCATAGGGCAAGTGGTGTGCAGTGAAGTGACAGCCCAACAAGCACTTTTTACAACTATAGGATGTGTGGTGCTGGTCAAGGCTGAACAGTGAATATCTCCAAACTGGATCTGAAGATAATTATTGAAGACAGCTGGCTATATTGTGTGTGGGCTATAAAGGAGCTTTATTTTAAGAGGTTCTGTTCAATTCCTGTCTCCTAGACAGGACATAGATCTAAAACATGGAATACTCACCTCTCCTGCTGCCCACACTGCCAATGTTTGCAGTAGTGAAGAGAAACTGCCAACTGAAGATATTTCAGAATCTGACACTTCTGAAAGTGTCAAATTCCCTACCTCCTGCCAAGCGCCGGGGTTCTTACCACCAGCCCCTATGTCACTACAGGACACAGTAGTGATCTAAGTAAATTGGGGAGCAGAAATCTGACTCTTCCATGTGTTTAGTGACAGATTTGCTTTCAAGTATGCAGCACCAAGTTATCAGCATATCCCTGCACCTCCTATACTTTCTCCACTTTCTTGTTGTTCAGAATAGCTTGTCTTACCCGAAACCCCGCCCCTTCTCTTGTCTACTAAAATGCAGTGTCCTACCCGGTCCAGGAATTATCATGTAGGTGACTAAAGAGATAACATTGTCCTGGTCTACTGAAAACATTTACAATGTCCCCATGACTCCCCAAACTTACCAAACCAGGCCTGTTGTTCCCCTTGCACCTCTATGGCCAGGCCAAAATCCGCCAACTTGACAGCAGCTCCTTTGCATTTACTGGCAAGGAGAAGGTTTTCTGGCTGTTGTTAACAGAAAAGTGTTTAGTTGCATTAACAGATCACCACTGTTCATTGTTTCCAGTTTAAAGTCACCCAAGAGGAATAAGGTGCCCTTTATAAAGGTGAGCAGACTTACAGCTGTATGAATGTGCTTGAGGAATGATAGAGTGCAGCATAAAACTGCTTTGGCTTCACTGCAACCTTTCATAAAGTGAGGTCTGGTCACCTTACTTTCATCAGACTGCATGGTCTCCATCTCTTCCACCTGATGATCTAGTCACAGATTTGAGCACTCCCAAAAAGAAGATGCACTATGTTATTTTACTTACAATAATGGGGAATATCACAGTAGCAGCAGAGGTACCTAACTCTATAGTGTTGATGGTGTTTGTACTTTTTTGAGTAGAAAATGACATAAAACGTAAACATAAAATGCTCCTGTGACACAGCTTTGCTAGGAATCTCATCCAGACTTTAGAAGAGTTACGTACAACTGGGGGCAGCATACATTGGAGCAGTAAAGTGGAATGTCCTCCCTGGTTCAAATCAGGCTGAACCCCAGGGTAAGGCTATATTCTAGGCTGAAAATAGAGAGTAGGAGGCCACTGAAGACGTAGTTAAAAAGCTTAAATTTAACTGATTTTTGTTTAATATAGGTAAACTTTGCATATTTATAGAAGGGTTATTGCTCAGAAGTAACAATTTTGGGGCTTATATAGACAGACAACTGTACAAACTCAGAGTAAAATGCACTATGCTTTCTGGTGCTTCTGAGATGCTTTGAGTTGCTCTCATTTGCTTTTCACTTGCTCAAGGAGTTGCTTTAAGCTGCTTCTGATTTCCACTCCATTCCTTTTTCCAATTGACTTTTGTTGAGATGGGTTGTGCCAGCAGGGGCACCAACAGATCAATTTTAGGCCGATTCAGCAGGAAACAGCCGAAATCAAGCTTAAAAGTTGCTTTTTCATTCATAGATTCAGTATCAGTGCAGATGCCAAGTATTTGGGTGAGTACTCATACTCTCCCAAATGCTCTCGATGCCTAGCCCGATACTTCCGGTATCAGGAAGCCGGGCAGCGCGTCACTTGTGACGAGAGAGCATGGAGCCGGCTTCCCGGCCAATCAGGAAGCCCGGCAGCATGTAATGACTCGGCGCCCCCCGCTTCCTGATTGGTCGGAAGCTGGCTTCATGCTCCCTCGTCACCTCAGGGAGCATGGAGTGGGCTTCTCAGCCAACTCAAGCCGGGCGCAGTGGCATTACACAGCGCCCCGGTTTTCTGATTTGCCAGAAAGCCGGCTCCTAGTGACGAGAATCATGGGGACGGCTTCCCTGCTAATCAGGAAGCCAGGTGGCGAGTCATTCCTGTATGGGACTTCCGGTACTCGGTATTCGGTATCGGTGAGTACCAAAAAAAAAAATACCGGTATCGATGCATCCCTAATTTATATTTTTTTTAAATCTTACATTAAAACAGGGATGCACAAATCCCAGGAGCCCCGTACCCAATGCTCCTTACAAATGACAGCTGCCTTCTAACTTTTTAGTTTTTCTCTAGTCTAGTCTTGGAGTTGGAAAAGTATCTGTACTTGCACCGAGTATGGTATCTTGGTATCTGAACATCCCTAATCCTATGTATTAATATATACAGTTGGGCAAAAAAGTATTTAGTCAGCCACCAATTGTGCAAGTTCTCCCACTTAAAAAGATGAGAGAGGCCTGTAATTGGCATCATAGGTAGACCTCAACTATGAGAGACAAAATGAGAAAACAAATCCAGACAAATCACATTGGCTGATTTGGAACGAATTTATTTGCAAATTACGGTGGGAAATAAGTATTTGGTCACCTACAAACAAGCAAGAGTTTCTGGCTCTCACAGACCTGTACCTTTTTCGCCCCAAGATCCTTTGCGGCCGTACGAGCAGTTCCTGACTCTCGGCGCGGGAGCAGGCAGCGATAACGAGGTAAGTTTAAACCTAGTTAAAGTGTTTTTTTTTTTTTTTTAAACTTCTCGCATATAGCTACTGCTTGCTAGCAGTAGATATAGGCAAAAAAAACAGAGGGTTTAGAACCCCTTTAACTCACAATGTGATTAGTAATTGGGAACTCTGGCCTTATGCATGGGGTAGCCATACAGTATATGGTCTTCGCATATGCTGGCTCTGCTTCCTGCTTAGTAATGTGTGCTGTGCCTTAGTGATTCTCTTATCTTACTGCAAGTCTGCCAGGCAATGTAGAATCTCTGCGCATTTAATTATATGAGACACACACATACATAATGTGCAATGAGATCCATGTGTGCCTAGGCTTTATGTCACATGGGTGCTTTTCTATTTACGGCAGGAAAGGGGTTATTTTTTACTAGAAATAATATGATGAATAAGATGTGATTTGTTGATGCAGACATATACCCTATTGATTTGAGTAAAATGTACATTTTAATGGTAGATCCACTTTAAACAAGAAAACTAGTTTAATTATAATGCAGAATTTGGGTGAATATTGTTATCAAATGAGGAACATAGGCAAGGAGCTGGGTAGAATTAACACGTTTATGTTCTTTACCTGCAATTAAATTTCAGCTAATTTTCAATCACTACATTCTGCCAGTTGGAAAGCACAACTTTCATGTTACACCAAGCTAGCCATAAATAGATGTTTCCTGCTGAATCGGCCTAAAATTGATCTGTTGGTGACCCTGCCGGCACAACCCATCACAACAAAAGTCAATTGAAAAAAGGAACGGAGTAGAACATTGTTGGGCATTGGCTGTCAGAATACAATTACCGGCAGGTGACAGTCCTCTATCCATGCTCTGTAGCGGGGATGGGGCAATCAAGTGATTTTGGGAAACTGAACCTAACTGTTTATGGCCAGTTTTTAGTCACAGGGGATTTTTCCCTGGTAAGATTAGCTCCGTTAGGAAAGGATAGACTCAGAAGAAGCAGCTGCCACATACAGGATTAGAAATGTGAGTCCCTATAAGTGTGGAGTTCACTTTCGGCAGAAGGGCACAAGTCTGCTTTTACAATTTGCTC